GGTCGTTATTTCGCTTGGATTCTCTCACTGTCGCAGAACATGCCACACTAGCCGTTCCCATGCCAGGCGTGTTCTTGCACAAAGCTGCTACCGTGTGCAACGCGCAAATGAAGTAAAGTTCTGATAATGTTCCCCCGTGGGCCTGCTGTTTCCGATAACGGGCATTCGACAACGTTTCCAGTGCTCTTGCGGTGAACCCTACCGTGTGCATCACTGCTCATGGTGAGTCCGATTGATTAGACGCATCTGATAATGTTCCCAGGACGCTGCTGTTTCTGACGGCGCATTCCTCTCCTCTCCCAATCTTTTCCGATAACGTGCATTCGCATCAGTACCGCCGTCACCACCAGTCAACTGCCTTCGATCCAACAGTTGGGTTTGTTCTTTTGGTTTTCGGATTCAGAACAGCCATAGTGATTTCTATCGGTATCGGTGTCTCCACCAGTTGACTGACTGCCTTCAATCCCGCACTGGGATTTGGTCTTTGGTTTTCGGATTCAAACAGCCATAGTGATTTCTATCGGTATCGGTGTCATCACCAGTTGACTGAGTGCCTTCAATCCCGCACTGGGATTTCGTCTTTGGTTTTCGGATTCAAACAGCCATAGTAATTTCTATCAGTATCGGTGTCATCACCAGTTGACTGAGTGCCTTCGATCCAACAGTTGGGTTTGTTCTTTTGGTTTTCGGATTCAGAACAGTCATAGTGATTTCTATCAGTATCGGTGTCATCACCAGTTGACTGAGTGCCTTCAATCCCGCACTGGGATTTGGTCTTTGGTTTTCGCATTCAAACAGCCATAGCGATTTCTATCAGTATCGGTGTCATCGCCAGTTGACTGAGTGCCTTCAATCCCGCACTGGGATTTCCTCTTTGGTTTTCGCATTCAAAACCAGCACCACTGGCTTCTAGAATTCAGAATGGCGACGATGATTTCTATGGCTATCGTTGTCCTCACCAGTCGAGTGCCTTCATTCCTACACTGGACTCTACCTATTACTCTGTTAGGACGACTCTGGTGGAGTAAGAAAGTGTGTGATCCGAATTACCCACTTCACTAGTCGTTCGCAATCTCTTTCTCAATGTTTTATCACCTTTTTTTTAACCACCATAAATGAATGCTTTTTTGCATGGGCTGTTTGTTAGATAACACACACGCAGACACACACATACAAACACACATATACAAACACACACACACACACACACACACACATGCACGCGCGCGCGCGCACACACAGACACCTCCCCCCCCCCCCCCCACACACACACGCACACTTTGCTGATCAATTCATTGGACATTGTTTTCCTCTCCATTTCTCTAGATTTTTCACTCATTTTAGTACAGCAAATACATCGCTAGGGTTTTGCATAGATTTTGGCATGCTAAGTAGCAGCCCCTCTTAGGTTTATGTAGGGTTTTGCATCCTCTCTTAGGTTTATGTAGGGTTTTGCATAGATTTTGGCATGCAAAGTAGCAGCCCCTCTTAGGTTTATGTAGGGTTTTGGATAGATTTTGACATGCTAAGTACAGGCTCAACCTCGTTCGTAGATCGTCTCTAGGCCATCAAATACTTCGAAGTAATTTAAATGTGTCTCATGAAACTCTGGCAGCATGACTTTCAACAAAAGGTGCAAGAAGCCCGATTCACACTTATAATTATGGGCTACTGTCACCCTCAATACCGTTGCACAACATAAATTATCGGCACTTGAAATACTTCCAAATTGTTGTTTTGGTAATTCTGTCGCGGCAGAATTTCAAGTTGACGTCATTTTTATGATGCAATGTGTGCTGTAAACGTGTATCATCAGACATACCCTGAACCTGGTGCTGGACAAATCCCCGCTTTATCCTTTACAAATTAGTTTGAGGAAACACGTGTGATGCGCTGACACCCCGTACATAAGTCGTAACTCGCGCATGCGAGGAGCATCGCATCGTAAAAAAACATGTCAACTTCAACTTGAAATTCTGTCAGGACAGCACTTTGTGTGGGAGTTGCACACTCTTGGAGGGTTGAGCTCTGAATTGCTGGGTTGTTACATGCAGTCTTCAGTGTGTGTGCGTGCGTGTGCGTGCACGTGTGTGTATATGTGCATGGGTGGTTGCGTATGTTGTGAGTGTAAGTGTGTTTGTGTGGGTGTAAGTGAGTGTGTAACTTATGAGAGAGATAAATCGAGCGTGAGGAAGGGAGGCAAATCTACCTCCCAGATGTTCGCGCGTCTACATGTACCACCCACATGTGCCACACACACACACGCACACACACGTACACGCACACACGCGCACATACGCGACACACGCACACACGCACACGTTCCAATCCCAAAGTCTGACCATAACCTATTGTTGAGAGAGAAAATAAAAGTCGTTGCTGCCGTTGACCATCACAGAAAGATCCTGCGAAGGAGGGGAGGGAGGGAGACTGTCGTTAGTAAACTAACCATCCCGATGTCACATGGCAGTGTGCGCAGCAGCAGTGGTAGCAGGGTTAGTACGGGGTTAATACGGCGTGACATCAGGGAAGGGGGGGGGGGGGGGATTAGTAGGGGTTTAACATCAGACAAAGGGAGTATGGGGTTAGTATGAGGTTAGTAGGGGTTAACATCAGACAAGGGGGGGGGGGGGTAGTATGGGGTTAGTAGGGGTTAACATCAGAGATTGGGGGTTAGTTAGTATGGGGTTAAGATAAGAACTGGGGTTAGTGTTGCGGGGTTACTACAGAGATATTTACGTATCAGAAAGTTAAAAAATTAATGTAAATTGTCTGAAAAACGAAGCAGAAATAGAAAAGTGGGAGGAAAATTGGCAGCAACCTGTGTGGTATGACGCAGGTTTGCTGCACGTAGACGAATCCACCCATGCAAAAATATAATACACGGAAATTAGCTAGCCTACTTTTCGACGGAAATGCCGACAACATTCGCAGTGTGCAACGACGTGCTGCAAACGGTTGCTGCAGTTGTTCCAAGCCATACTGGTGCACCTGAGGAGCAGGGCCAGGTAGTAGCGAAGAAAGGAAATCAGAAATGAAGACGTGTACCGTCGAGTGTGACTGGCAGCATGGTCGATGAGAGTCCAAGTACATACATTCCGTTTGGCACAGGGGCGGCTTGCAGATCTTTACTTGTGCACCCATGCATGCACGGTGGCACACACACACACACAACACACACACACGCACAACACACACACACACACACGCACAACACACACACATCCTGCTCTGACGGGCCTGTACCTGTCAGTTCCACGCCATTGTTACCTTGATTCCAGAAATATTCGCAGTCCCACCAGCTCTGCCGACAGGTCGTTGCCACCACGATAGCTCCATACATTGTAGTAGAACATAGCAGCTACTCCTTATAACATTACAGCTATCTGGTCCGCACAGCCTTACTTGTAGCTATACAGGGTCCGCATAGCCTTACTTGCAGCTATACATGGTCCGCATAGCCTTATACAGGGTCCACATAGCCTTACTTGCAGCTATACAGGGTCCGCGCGGACCCTTATTATACAGGGTCCGCATAGCCTTACTTGCAGCTATACAGCCTTACTTACAGGGTCTGTATAGCCATACTTGCAGCTATACAGGGTCCGCATAGCCTTACTTGCAGCTATGCAGGGTCTGCATAGCCATATTTGCAGCTATACAGGGTTGGCGTAGCCTTACTTGCAGCTATACAGGGTCCGAATAGCCATACTTAGTCTCAGCGTGATTCTTACAGCTATACGGGGCCAGGGCACACATCCTTACTTAGTCTAAACAGGAGGTGTAGTGTAGTGCTGTACAGCAGGGTCAGGACACACAGCGGCCATACCTAGTCTGAACATGCAGGACGAGATGCAGTGCTCCGGGGCAGGCACGGGCTTACTTGGCCCGAGCAGGAGGAGATGACGTAGTGCTCCAAGCGGTTCTGTCCTCCTCGTCCATCTCGTAGAGATTATCCTCGACAGAGCTGAGAGCCGACAAGCGGCGGTGATCGCCGACCGACGTCATTCCGACGTGCAGGTCTCGCGACGTCTCCATCGGGTCCTCGTAGTCCGACATGGTTGCCGTGGCGTCGCTGCTTACGGAGCCGGTGTCGGCCACCGGTCGCTGTGGCGACACGTAGGGCGGAGGCAGTGTGGGACTTCGCTCCTTTGCCGCCTTGGCTTTCCTCTGCTGTGCGGTGGCGGCAGCAGCTGGGCTGTTGCCTTGCATGCCGCTGCCCGGCGAACTCTGACTCGACGACGCACCTGCCGCAGGTTTGCTCCTTGCCAGCCTGAGACCGTCTTCAGCGGCGTAGGCGTAATCCCCACCGCCACCAACGGTCGTCGCGTACTCAACACCGCCACCACCAGTCGTCGCGTACTCAACACCGCCGTCACCATCCGCCGTCGTAGCTGCAGCGGGTTCGCTCACAAACATGGCCGGTGCGCGATAGTCCTGCGGCTGATGTCGCGACGCCCCAGCGCCGCCGTTGGCATGGCGATTGCCGTTGTTGACTGGGTCCGAGGTCGCCATGGTGAGCACCGTGCCGCCGCCTGCGTGCATGCCATCGCCGGGACTGTCGGCGTAGAGATTCGATCCGCTGGTGCTGGTGAGGAGGGTATCCTCCCGCACACCACCACCAACACCGCCGCTGCCTTCGATGTCGCTGCCTCCGGCCTGAAGTGCTGCTGCTTGGGTTGAGCTCAGAGTCGAGCACGCGGTCGATGTACTGTAATGCCGAGCACGATTCTGACGTTGCTGCTCCACTGCTGGCGATGGTGTCCTGCCACCGCTGCGCTTAGACGTGAGTAGCGGGTGTGGCTCGTCGAGTTGATTCAACGTCGCCGACACCTCTTCGACCGTGAAGTACGTGCAGGACGAGGACGCAGGACGCACGCTCACGACCTCGGCGGGTGACTGCCTCCCCCCACCTCCTGTGTTGGGTCCGCCGTTGCTGCCATTGCTGCTGCTGCTGCCGGTGGGTCGTGACGATGACAAGGACAATGTTGGCGGCCTCT